ATCAAACCCAAACAGATCATGCTCTTAAGATCCCTTTAACACTACTTTGCTGTCTGGTAATCCATTGTGATTTTAAACATTTGTTAAGGGAGTTTATTGTTCACTGACTATAATCTAACTTCAGCAGGCTTTTTCCCCCTCTTGATCCGAAGCATCTTCATACTAATATTATTGTGAAATACAAAATTGCTTTATACTCACAGGGACACAAGTAAAGCAAACCTACCAACAATGCCATGTTTTCTTGGGTACCTAGCCAAAACAAATTAAACAGTGCAGGAATAAAGTATAGAGTACTTTTTACCTTTCAAATGTTTCCCCTTTTCTTCAAATGAAGGATCTACACTGCATCTTCTGCTCAGTAGATACAATTCTGGCAGCTGTCTGCTTCTGCCACCTAGTGGTGTGTGTGTGTGTGTGTGGCACTTAAATGTTTTTACACAGTCGCACTGCGGGAACTTGCCTCCCTTTTTTAAAAGCCAAACAAAAGACCCCATAATGTAAATCCTTACATTGTCCAACAGGAAAACGTTATGCATTACATTAATACACATCACCTCATGCAAACCATTTTTTTTTAAAAATTGTAAATCCTGTACATGTTGCACATTTCTGCTCCATGCTGCCTCTTTTTTTAATCAGCATAACTCTCAAATTTGAATATAGTATGTTGCCGTATTTTATTATATTTTACTGCACTCAGTTTCCAACATAATTATAATTTGTGTATTATTATTTTTATAATTGTAGTAGAAGTAACCATTATGCAGTGGCTTATTCAAGATGGTTTATCATTTGATATGGGGTTACTTAGAATGCATTATTAACTTAGCTGGTGGAGGTTTCAGGTTGGATTTCACTGTTATGTTGGCCTCATATTTTACAGGATGGTCAGTTATTGTTTTATGTAAACCTCCATCTACAAAGTAATAATCAAACATAATTGCCACATGAAATTGACAATGAGGAAAATATGATGTACTTTTACACTCTTACACTATCTCCCTGTTTCACTGATTGTCTCCCTGGTGTTCCACATTTTTTAAATCAGGGCCTGCAGTGTGTGGCTGTGTTTCTGTGTGAGGCGTTGGGATTAGTGTCCAGTGTTAGAGGATGTGCTGCTAGGAAGTTGTGTTGTTGTTGTTGTTGTTGCACCAGTGCTGCTTTCCGTTTTCAAGAAAGTTGGCCTTATTTGAGCTTTTGAATCAACTAGTGAGCCCCTTCAATAAAAGTTAATAAACAACATGTTTGTTTAAACAATTCCTTTATCACAGATTATTTTTCCCTGGTTTATTTAATATTTGTGTCAATTCTCTTATCCGCTCTAGAGTATTGTGAGAAGTAAAAATGTATACAAATAAAATACAAGAAATAGAAACACTGAAGCAGAGTAAAAGTACCTCTGAATTGTACTTAGATAAAGTGTTTGACAACTGTTCACAGACCTGAAAAAGTGTTTTAACTCACCAGTGCACCTGTGGATGTTGTTGCACCAAACACAATTTAGAATTAACCTACAGAACAAAAACAAAAGACGAAACAATACACTACTTAAAAATTATACTTAGTCTTTAAATGCACAATATCTAATTTTCTACCACTAGGAATCTCTCAATCATCACAATACAGTTACAAAAGAGTTTGGTGGCGATCAGTATCATGTGATCAAAGTGTGTCACTGCAGTCAGTTCGTAGCCTGTACAAAGTATGTTTTTCCATGTATGTCCAAATTACATGATTAATCATTACCTCACTTGTTAGGCGACACACATCCAGCCAATTTCAATTGTACCTGACATTAGGCTGTATGAGGTACAGGTACACTCAATGCACACTGATGTCAATTACTTCAAAAAGTTAGGATAAATTGAGAGAAAAAAATATCAAATTAAGACTAATTTAGCACCCTTATGGCATCAGCTGACCACGCGTGTGTGTGTTTGTGCGTGCGTGCGTGCGTGCGTGCGTGCTCCGGTAACCCAGTGCATGTGTGTGACCATGTGTCCCCATGTTTGTGTACCCCAGTGTGTGTCACCATGATTGTGTCTCTGTGTGTACCCCCGTTTCGTGTGTGTGTGTGTGTGTCCATGTCCCCATTTGCGTGTGTGTATGTGCCCCTATGTACCTGTGTGTGTGTCCATGTACCAAGGTGTGTGTGTGCCCCCGTGTCCCCATGCAGCAATGTGTGTGCGTGTGCCCCCCATTGTGTGTGTGTGTGTGTGTGTGTGTGTGTGTGTGTGTGTGTGTGTGTGTGTGTGTGTGTGTGTGTGTGTGTGTGTGTGTGTGTGTGTGTGTGTGTGTTCTGTGTGTGTACAGGGGTGTTTATGATTGCCCTTTAACTTTGTTTCCAGTTTGATGAAGACAATTATACATACTTTCCATTCTAACAACACTATAGATAAATGAAAGCCCAAGTTTATTAACACGACCATTTTCTCTTGAAAATCTCACAGTTAGGAGCTGACACTCTGAGGTTTCCTGAGAAAACATCCGAGGCAGCAGTGTGTGACATCAGTTTCCTGCAGAGATAAAGTCTTGGTTTCTGAAACACGGCCAGAGGTTTGTGGCTTGATTTCTGCTAAGCTAGCTCTGCTCAGAAGCCCCTGGTTGAGTCAGTTAGATTTAATCTGTGATCGCCTCGTGATAAACGTGAAATATGCGGTTCAAAAACTCCTCTGCATGAAGCACACACAATCTGATCTAACATTCAGAATGATGTGCATTTCATATTCAACTGTTCAGTGAGTGGGGGGTTAAACACACATATGAAACCTCTGTTCAAAGTTTCTTCTTTGGGTTATGGTTATTTTACAAGACAGAACAAAATCTCAAATATTTTCTAGCACTATTAAAAATAGTAAGGTTTTTTGATTAAAGACAAATAAAAAGTTAAGCTTTTACAATGCTTCTACATTATCCGCATCGTACATAAATACATCGTCCATGTGTAACACATCATTTCTTACCCTACATACATTGCCTTTATACCTTTATACATTCAGCTTGACTTGCAGTATTTATGTTTGGCTAACTCTGAGTTAAATTGTACATTAAATCTTGATTGATGTAGTTTTAAATGTCAATAGCAATTATAGCATGTAGTATGACAAATGTTTTATATTGGAACCATAGTTTATTTCGCCTAAACAATTAAGTGGATTATTGGCAGCTTGTTTATAATTTAGGTTAAATACAAGAATATATGCATTCTTTCATATAATGCATTATATCAACAGATTAAAACAGACACGTTTATACACGTATGTGTTGATACATTATTTTAAATGGTTGCAATATTTTACAGCTTTTTAAATACATTGAAAAATGTTAATCATAATTTTGACATGTTATGAAATGCAATTATAACTTTTTCAAGGATTAAGAATAGAAACAATGGGACACATAAGGTCAAAATAAATGACGTAATATATATATATATATTTTTTAATAATGCTTTGTTATGTCATCTTAGTGGCAAGTAGCTTTTACATTTTCAAATTGAGGTTAACTAAACTGTTAGAGCAGCTAAAGGCAAACAATACTTCATTAAATTAAAACACTAAAAAGAATGTGGAGGATTTGTACTGTTTATGTAAACCTGTGTGTGGTGGACAGAGTACAAGTGCAACATTTAATTAAAAAATACTGCAAAGCGGTGCCGTTATGGAATTACAGTGTTGCATACAGAAGGGCATTTAAGTGCTTATATTTATCACCACTGTGTCTCACCCAGTATCATTTCACACACCATCCTCCACCTGTACGGCATCAAGAAGGTTCTAGTTGTTGACAAATACATTGATCGGTTCTGCATAAGACTTCATCATAGTAAACCATTACATTTATACACTTTTTATAGATGTTAAAAAAGGATATTAAAATGTTTCTTGTACTTTTCACTTCAGTAGCCTGTATTAATTTGACCGAGACAATTACTTAAAAAATGTGGATTTAATACATAAAATATATGAGCTCATAAACCATTTTAATTGTTACGGTAATATTTATAGGAATTAATATAAAACATTTACAAAATAAATATTAGGTTGATGAGTCCAAGCAGGCTTTTTATTAAAGCAACTACTAACTATTGCTATTAATAATACAATGAATGTATTCCTTGGAGAATTCAATGTAAACACCTTTGATGACTATTGAAAGAGTTGTAGTCTTATTGGATACAAAGACATTTAGATCACAGACTTTTCCAGGTATGGAGTATTCTTTCATTTATGTCAGATATTAGGAGAATAAAAAGTTGGTTTATTTTGGCGCACATTCAAGTCTGCCTCGCCTGCATTATAATTCAAACTCGTCTTTGCAGAAACATGTAAATCTTCCAGAGCAGCCTTTGTCCGAAGAGAAAACACATGTCTAAAGATGCATAATGCGTGACAGCCGTTAAAGTTTCTCATGCAGCAATTTGTAGAATGTATCAATTTAATAATCTCCTGAAATCTGGAGCGTGTTGAAGACAGCCAGCGCTTTCCACACTACATGTTTTTTTTGCATTCACCAATAACATTTTTAGTGATCACATTATTACTCTACTTAACTAAAAGTGTATATTGTGTAGCCTACACTAATTGATGTATAAATGAATGTGTTCGTATTTTCCTTTTTAAATGATATACTAATTTAATCTGAAAGTAAGAATAATAGAAAAATAATTCCTTGATTATTCATTATGACATTTCTCATAGTGTGGAAGGAAATCTCATGCAAACTCTACTTTTGATTATGAAATTAGTTAACAGTTCACAGCGTGTGCCAATTTATTTTTTCTCAGAAAAGTGTATGTAAATGACCAAAAGTCATACCAACTTTATTTTAAACTAATGTTTTCTACTATATTATTCTGCCCAAGATCCTCCATAACATGAAGTCAAATTGTTTTCTTCAATAGTGAGGTGATATATGTAAGTCCAGCTGAGCCCCCCCACTGCAGAGCTGTGTGCGGGGCTGCTCAGTATAAAGCTGAGAGCTGATCTGTGGTCTGCCTCACTCAGGGGTGACCTGCAGTGATGATGCTGCTCCTCTTCCTCTTCCTCCTGCTCTGCACTGCCATCGCTAAAGGCAAGTGACAACTCTAAATCTGTGACTTATTCCAATTGGACCGTGTGTATGCCACAATATGTCAATTATTTTCAAAACTGTTTTTTTTTGTAGTTAAGATTTATTATTTAAAATATCCTGCAGTGCCACAATCTTAAAACTAAATATTACTTATGCTTAATTTGACACAGTTTTCAAAATTACTGAAAGCTATCTAAATTACATTTTGTGTAATTATTAATATTGGGTTTTATGAAATATGTCTACAAGCAGGCATACCATTTAGCATAGAACAGATACTAAATGAAAATGTGCTGTAACTGAGGTAACATTGTCCTTTTTCTTGGTAAGAATATTTCAGTTTTTTTCTATAAATAGTGCTGAATAAGATACACAAATATAGGAAACCAAGAAGCGAATAATTCAGAAATGACAGATTTGTCAAATCAATTGGTTATTTCCCTAAACAATTTATTTCAAATTAAATCAGAACATTTGAGTGTTATCATTGAAAATAAATGTTTTAAATATCATCAAAAATGGGAAAATACTAATAATTTCTTAGTACCGCAGAGCTCAGTAACTATTTTTTTTTTAGAACATTTGACCCAATTAAAAGTACATTTTACCATCGCACATATAGAGATAAGAAATTGGTATGTTAGGTTGTAAAAAGAAAAATCACAACAAATAAGTGAATGAATAAATATATATATATATATATATATATATATATATATATATATATATATATATATAACATATTTAATGTGCACTTACATGCTTTTTGAGTTGACAATATACTTTGAAAAGGTTTCAGGCGAGTGATTACGCTGTTTAAAATGAAATGTTTTAAATAAATAACTTAATCATAGCCATGCAGCTCATTATTATTTCTCCCAAAGAATCCTAGATTTGAACCAGGCAAAGAAAATGGAACACTGATAACTGTTTACATTTGAAAGTTCTTTAGTAAAACTTGAATCAAAATGGGATTAAATACCCAAAAAATTGTGATTAGAAAGGAACAATATCCTTTAAACAGTTTTTATGTACAATATAACATTCTAAATATAATGTGTCTTCTTAATATTCCTTTTAAAATACATATTTGGATGTTAATCATTTCTAATCACCAGTTTGACTGTCATTTAATGACATGTTCTTTCTCTGTAACTGTTACTTTTAAATACTGTTTACCTGTATGATCTCTCCTGTCTCTAAGCAGGTGAGGACCGTCTGATTTTGATTAATGGAAGCAACCCGTGTGAAGGCTACATCCAAATCTACCATGACAACAAGCTGGGCTACATCGGGGACAAACACTGGAGCAACAAAACTGAAGACGTGGTTTGCAAGAGCACTCAGTGTGGTAAAGGAGTTGGGAGCACCCAGGAGCCCGCCATGTTGCCCATCGATCGAGTGTGGCTGAACGAGGTGGAATGCAAAGGGGACGAGCTTCACCTGGGCGAGTGCACGCATCCCGGCTTCGGCATCAGCCAGTTCGACACTGGGACTCTGAGGAAGATCCAATGTTCAAGTAAGGTTTAACAACTTTTGAGAAGTTAATCCAAATTATTGAAAAATTACATGATGACTATTTTGTTACATTTCATTTCCTTTACCTAACCCTAAGCCAAATCTACAATACAAGCCTTTTACCATGAAGATACAAACTCTTTAAATATAGGCATAAGAATAGAGAAACATGCCTTGACTCAGATTTGTTGTGTGAATAACAGACAGAAAAGAGAAAAAACTATTGAAAAATAGCTACATAAATAAATATATTTATAAAAAATATATCAAAATGTATAGAGTATTTGTATATAAACAAGAAACGTACTGAACTAAAAATAAAATGTATATACTTATAAGAGGGTTTATAATAAAAGAGTTAAAAGGAGAATTCATTAATGAATACATCTGTTTTACTTTTAAAAGAAATGGAGAATAAAAAAACCTGAAAAGCAGATATTTAATAATGTATATTCACCAGGCAGTGATGGACATCTGACATATGTAAAAGAACAAAAGTGATTGCATTTAACCATGAAGATACAAATTCAAAGAGCAAGCATCCTGCAACTAGCAAAGAGCAAGCATCCTGCAACTAGCTTTCAAACACTTTTTGGGCCCACTGCATTGGCTTCAAGTATAGGCTAAACCTTTCAACGTAAAAGTAGAGTTTTTTTGGGGGGTGGGGGATCAGTTTGAGACGTTAGATGTGTATAATTGTTGCCGTCCGGATTCAAATGGGGAGCTCATTCCACCATTTTGGAGCAAAACAGGAATTCTTTGGTTGAGTGGTACCTGGATCATACATCCAAGACTATGTAACCATTCCCTCCAGCATGTGCGATTTGCTCTGCATCGGCCAATCGGCTAGCTGCTCTTTGACTGCTAGCAGGACCCAGGTACCACACATCAAAAACATGCCTGTTGCCTTGTTATGCATTATGTATAACTTGTGTGTGTTGTAAATGTTGTGAAAAATGGTGATGAAATGACAGAAAACCCACGCCTCTTTGCTACCCCGTTCCCCATTGACAGCAGAACGTCTACAAATCTTCCCTCACAAACCTGCCTGGTCCGTGTGTACCTTGTCCAATAAACCATGGGCGGTTCTTGGGGGGGCCAACAGGGGCCAGTGCCTCTGTAGCACTGATCTTTGACCCCCCCTGTGAAAGAAGAGTCTTTCATTGTACCATTTGTGATAGTGTTGCAGTATAGGCAAAGGCTGTGCTGTTACTCAGGGCGAAGTTAACAGTAATGTATTTAATCATTTTATTTTATAAAACTCTAGTCATTGACACCATGATTGGTATTTGATTTATTTGTATTTCATGTTTTTTTGTGCTATGACTTTATATTGAACTAAAATGATAAAATCTTGAACAATGTCTTTGTCTATAATGTCCCGCATTAAATCTCTCTCATAAAATGACTGCCCCCCCCCCTCAAGTAAAATTGGTCAACAACACGCAAACATTTTTTTTTTTTCATGGATTATTGCATTTATCGTGAGTAGCTGAGAGAAAAAGCGTCAGATAAATGTAATCCTGATAATAATAATAATAATAATAATAATAATAATAATAATAATAATAATAATAATAATAATAATAATAATAATAATAAATGGATAAGGAGGACCTTTTTGATTTATCTTTTTTTTGTCTTCTAGATAAGATCAACATCAGCCTGCAGGGGTATGCGTGTGCGGGAGCGGTCCAGTACTCCACCGATGCAGGACAGACATATCCTGGGTACTTCTGTGGGGACAGCGGCTGGGGTAAGAGATGCAGACAGCAAACTCCTGTATTTATTGATTATGTTTGTACAACATATTTTTTTCTATAGACATATAGGTGAAACAAAACAAATAAAATACGCCTTATTGTGTGCTTTGAATCCTAACGTTATTTTTGTGGGAATTTAAGACAGAAATTTGAAAAAAAATGAAAACACAAACATAATTCATATAAATGATAAACTTAAGCGAACTAAACTAATACGTTGAAAGGAAAATCATATACATATTCATAATAAGCAGGATTATAATAAAAATAAAAAACACCAACGTGCTGCGTGAGTTCAAAACAGAAATCCTTTTTTTCTCATGTAAAGTAAATATAAAGGGGTCAGTGGGACGGCTGAATAGTGGAAGATGTTCTCGGTCTTTAAACCATCTTATCTCACTTATTTTACATTACCACACGAATGCATCAATGTCTAAACAGCATTTACTGTTATAGCTGGCTGAGGAACAGGTCAAACATTTCATCTACATTTTAAAGTTAGGTAGTTTGTAGAATATGTATGGTAACACATAAAGGGATCTGGCCCCCTCCAAATGGTCTCAAGTTAGATATGAAGGATATTGAGAAATGTGTAAGGGCAAAAAAAAGAAGATGCTCCTGGGAAGTATTGGAAAATTCCAACTCTTCAGGCATCAGGTATTTATTAATTACAATAATACTATTATTAATTCTAATGATAGCTATAACTACTAGAGGAATTCAGAGGGTAAGTCACTCTTTAGTGAAACAAATCATTTGAAACATGACATACATGACCCAATTTTTCTTCCTTACTTTCAACGAGACGTATGATGTTCGTTTAAGGTTCATACTTTCTTTTCGTTTCTTTAACATTGCTACATAAAATGGCACCACTTTTGACAGTATGGGACCGCTCTTTTTCTATTTGATTTGATTACAAGGCATACTTAACAAAATAAGTACTCAGATACATAAAAAAACTTCAAAGCAATCGACAAATCAGGAAAAGACAAAAACAAAACAAACTGACATCAACCTATAAGATATAGATTACACATAATGGATAAAACGTTGATGCTCATACGTATATAAATGATCAGATCTTTCCCCCTGGTCATTATATATGTTTTGTGTTCTTTCATTGACCCATTCTATCCCACTTTTCATCAAAGATATGAGCTTGGTTTCTGATTCTAATGCTTTCTTTCTCAATTCCATACGTTCCATTTACTAGATGATACCATTGTGAGTGAATTAAGATATTATATTTTTACCAATTCCTTGTAATTTGTTTAATAATTGTTATTCCTATCACAAGAAATAGATAGGAATCTTTTGATTGTTAAAAGGAGCTTTGGATGCTTTTGACTTGTAATGCATTTATCGATTTCTTTTTTATAATCCTTCTCATCAAGACAAAGATGCATCAAATATTTTGTGCAAAAGCCTGAAGTGCGGTACAGCCAAGGAAATTCCCAAGAAGCCGTGGATCACTCTCAAACAATCAGAGAAGATGTGGGCAGATTGTTCAGGCATCAAAGGCCTAACTAATCTGTGGCAGTGTGCGACTGAGAAAAAAGGTTCAGCGTGTCCCAATCCTGCGACTGTCATATGCTCAGGTAACACACACTCACACACTGAACCACTACCTGGTCTCATAGAATCATCTACCATAAAACGAAGCTTAATTGTCGATACATTCTGAGGGAAAACTTATTTTATCCCGGTCCTGTTTGTTTTTAATGTATAAAACTATTTGCAAAGTTTTGAACTATACTTATCAGTTTGGATGGCTCCAACATATTTTTTGATTGGACTTTTATTTATTTATTGGACTTTTATTCCAAGTGCTTTTGAATTTCATTCATATTTGAATGTTTTATTTATGGAGTTTTTTTATTAGACTTTATTTATTTTTAATTTTACTTTTATTTTTTATTGATCTCTAAGGTGTCATTTAGCACTGTGAAAACGCTATATAAATGTCATTTATTATTATTATTATTATTATTATTATTATTATTATTATTATTATTATTATTATTATTATTATTATTATTATTATTATTATTATTGTTGTACAACTTTTAACCAGGAGACTGGAGTCTGTCATGTCTTTTTTTTCATATCCATAACCTAACCTATCTATTTTTTTGTTTTTTTTCAATGAACAATGTTAACCACATGGTCAAAACGGCGACAGTAGTTTGTCTCCTGTTTTTGTTTATTTATATCAATTTTTTGTTGTTGTTTCAATTCAACTTTAACCGAGTGTTTAAAACTGCCTTTATCCAGGAGTAAATCAATTTCTATTGAAAGCAAGTGTGAATTAAGGAAATGGTTCATTCACAGATCATGAGATACTGCAACTCTCCGGAGACGCATCCAATGTGTGTTCTGGTCGGCTGGAGCAGAGGGTAGGTGAAGCCTTCACTCCTTTCAGAAACAACAATCACAGTAAGGAGTGGTGCGAGCGGATGCACTGCGGAACATCTGCCAACTCCAGCCTAGCTGCTGACGGCCTACAGCTCAACTGCACAGGTAGTCCAACACACTAACATTCAACCAAAGGCAACCTAAACACAGTTGTGTAAAGTAACTAAGTACATTAACTCTTTGCTTGAGTATTACATTTTTTGCTGCTTAATACTTTACTTTTACCCCACTACTCGAAAAACTGAAACGTTGACTTTAATCAAATGTATTATGTCAACAAATTTCAAATAACAGTTATAGGTTAGTCGAAAGCAATATTATTAAGTTGAACCTAAGACGTAATTGTATTGCTTTGAACTAACCTCAAACAGTTATGTGAAATCTGTTAACATAATACATTTAATTAAAGTAAACTTTTCAGTTTTTTCAGTGTCCTATTCAGAGGTACTTTTACTCCACTAGAGGTATTTAATACCTTTAGTTATTTTTTGCCGATGTGGACTAATGATGTGAAATATAATCAAGTGTTAAATCAGACTTTAGTTCCACCTGGAGTAAATTCACAAGCTACCCTGCAGTATACAAAGTCATTCAAACTAGCTGCACCTTTACCAGCTTTGAGAACACTTTAATGATCAATCATTATAAAACATATCATATATATTATTCAGAAATGGACCAATCTGCACAATCACTACTTTTACTGTCGCTACTTTAACTATATTTTGATGATAATACTTTTTATTTGAGTAACATTTTGAATGTAGGACTTTTACTGTAACAGAGTATTCTTACACTCTGGTACTTCTACTTTTACTCAAGAACAAGATCTTAGTACTTCTCCCACCTCTGCCGAAACACAACAATTTTTCCTATATATTTTATCCAACTGACAAAATGATAAATTAAAGAGTCTTACTAAATAATGTTTTTAAAAGATAAACCTTTATCTGTTCACAGATCATGTGAGAGTGGTTCTGATGGACAATGGGGAACCCAGCCGCTGCTATGGTGAAGTCTATATTATGCGTAACAACTCTCCTCAGCCGGTGTGCGCCTCGGGCTGGACCAATACGGAAGCTGACGTCGTCTGCAAGGAGCTACGCTGCGGCAGTTCTGTGAGTTTTCAGATTTAAGAAGCACTAATAACAAAGATTTTATCCAAGGCAAGCTTATGTCAATTTGTTGAGCAGCCCCTCTCTATTTTTGTATTTTTATTATATACTGTATATTTTTCTTCTTGTTATTATGATTATATCTGTTTTTAATTGTAAATGTTTTACTTTTCATAATCACATTAATATTCTTATTATTATCATCACTATTTGTTTTTTTTATTTTCATTATTATGTTATTTTTTATTACTTTTAGTTTGTAGTATTTTAGTTTTTATTTGTATTATTATTATTATTATTATTAATATTTGTATTGATTGTGTTTTTTTATATTAATAATAAGAATATTATGAATATTAAGTAGTATTATTGTGGATGTTCTTTTTATTAGATAATAATACAAATTAATTGTATTGTTGTTGTTGCCTTAATCAATGTTATATTAATAAAATGTTTTATTAATATTTTTTGTGAATTATCAAAAATAGTAATCATCATCATTGAAAAAAAATGTCTCTGTAAATGACTGCCCTTCCGATCAAATGTTTGCCACTAATGAATGACATGGATCCTTAATGATATAACCATAAACGCTGTGTTCCAGGTGCTCAGCAACGATGAGAAGAGTCCTCGAGGAGCGGAAATGGACAATGGGATAATGCACAATGTGGAGTGCTCAGGGAAAGAGTCGTCCCTGTGGCACTGCAGAGCCCAGCGGGACAAAAAGCTCAGATGTTCTTCCAAGGCATACGTAGTCTGTTCAGGTGAGACACGGCAGCAATGTTGTAATACCAAATAAACGTAGAAATCACAATATTCCTGCCCAAACAGCAGCGTGTGTTTACTGCAGTGTCAGGTCTAAAACTACCAGACTCAGGGACAGTTTCATCCCACAGGCCATACGACTATTAATACCTGCACTTTTTAAAGAACATCCATAACGTTCATCTGTTTGCATCTTGCCAATTATTTATCTAATATATCATATTCCATTTACTTGTATGGACTCTTCTTGCACTATTTCTATTTTATTTGTATTTACTTGCACTATTTTATCTGTTTTATTTGTTCTGTGTGCTATTTATATTGTTGGAGGAGCCTGTGAGTTTTTCATTGACATATCAACACTGTAGCTAATGACAATAAAGCCTTGAATCTTGAATCTTTGACAATTCTCTTGCTGTCATGGAACAGACAGCATGGAGGTGAAATTGAAGGACACTCCTGGGAAATGTGCCGGCAGACTAGAGATCAAGTACGAGGGCAAATGGCAGAGGGTCGATAAAAAAGGATGGACAGATACGAATTCAGAGGTCGTCTGCAATCAACTGAAATGTACAAAAAGCATTAAGAAGAATAAGGACGATTTTCAAAAATACAGCCCGGGTTCAGCTACATTTCTGTCTAAGACTATAACTTGTGGGAAAGATGATGTCTCCATATCTAAGTGTGTCACAAGGACTACCAGCAACCGCAGAAACTCAGACTTTGGAAGGCCGGATTCAAACGTGAATAAGGAGGAGGCAGTGGGAATAACCTGTGAGGGTGAGTGTGTTTTCCATTCGTCTGACCTTCTATTGTGCCAATTCCAAAGTGTCGGTTCGAGTCAAGATGTGTGTGTGAATGACTTTGAATCTGTCTTTGGTGATATGTAACTAAGTCCATTTCTGCAGTACTGTCATTAAGCAGAAATGTAAGGTATTTGGAATTTAATTGAGTATTTTCTGTCCACTCCACTAGAATTAATATTGTACTTTTATTTCACTACATTTATTTAACAGCTATTATTTTATGTATATATCCAACATTGTTTTAAGTACACCTCAAACAGTGAGTGGGTTGACAAAAATGTATTACCAGCAATTTTGATAATTGTTTAAGTATTGTTTGAGTAAATCTGTTTCACTCTTCCAGCTTACTTATTTTAAGAATTGTAAGAACTTTTCTACAATGTACTTCTACTTCTAATACTTTAGGTAGTTTTTCTAAACATAAATACTTTTACCTAGGTAACAATCTCATTGCAGTTGGCGTATTTTTACTTGTAATGGAGTATTTTTTACAGTGTAGTGTTCTACTTTTGTAAAGGACCTTAATAACACTGGATTCTGTCCTCCACATTGTAGAGTCTGGAGTTTTTTTAAATATGATTTCTTTAGATATTTCTCACCAAGTGATATGTAAAGGTTAACTTTTTCTGTCTGTCATTTGGTGCTGAACAGATAATTTGCTGAACAGATCATTGCTCTTGCTGGAAACAGCTGCAGGAAACTAGATTGATAATATACACATCTTTTTTTTGCTTTTAGATTGTTGAGAATATTAATTAAATGTATCACATGGAATATAAATGTTCCAGTATTTCATAATAATTCTATGTTTCCTAGTTTGAAAACAATGTAACAATTACAAATCGTACAACAAATATGAATATCTGAAAAAAACTATTATCAAATATATAATATGACACACTGCACATACCAATACATACCAATTCAGAATTCTCAAGCTGATGGGAACTGTAGGGTTGATGATAGTTTTAAATAATTTGCCATTTTCAGAAAACATTTTCTTTTTGGCGAGAACCCTAACATATATTTCTTTCTTTGAACAATGTAAGAGTAAAGAGTTATTATTTAACTATGCATAGATTGTGCACTGAGGTGCAATACATATAGATATCAAAACTGCTGTGCAATACCACTGCTAATGAGCAATCTACCCTTATGATCAATTTACACATAATTGTTTTAACAATTTATATACACATTTTCAACGCAACAACAATCTTTCAATACTGTAAAAAAATTATATGTTCACTTATTTTTTTAAATAATGCTCCTTAATTTTTACCATTGTTTATTCACTTGTTTTTTAGATATATATTAATTTTCTTAATAACGTGTGCCTTTAATATGTAACTCTACTGGTTCTCCTTTCGCCTTTTATCTGCCTTTTTATACCTTGCAGCTGTGACACTGTCAATGTTCCCGCTGTGGGATGAATACATGCTTTATGATTCTGATTCTGACTTATAACTACATTTCCCCATTTCATGATTCTAAGAGAAAAATAAACGGTCGTTCGGTAGTTCCAAGTCTACGATGTGAGGGGTCATGAGCCTAAAATGGCATGCATTTGAAAAAAGAGGAAGCCACCCTGAACACATTACCAGTCTATCATAAGCTAAAACTAACTGTCTTTCTTTATTTTGTCAATTTTAGGGCATAAAATGATAATTCTGGAAGAAGATTCCTGCTCTGGCAAGGTGGGGATAAAAACCCTCCAACAAACTTACTGGCTCTCCGGGTCTAACGCAACATGGAACCAAGAGACGGCAAACACCGTGTGTCGGGAGACGCATTGTGGGGAAGCTTTGAATGTCACTAACACCCAGCCTGGTCCAGAAGAAAAGGTTTGGGATAAATTGTACAACTGCTCACACAACGAAACATCTCTGTTTGACTGTGGAGAAACACAAAATCCAAAAGACCTCAATTTCACAATTGCCACTGTGAAATGCTCAGGTAATGTGACACTATGTGGAAACTTTCATCTCATAAAATGTTTTCAACTTTCTCATTACACGTGTATATTTCCACTGTATTCCATTTTCCTCATCCCTTTTGCTATATGCCACAACAGGAGTAAAAACATTTAACCTGTCCGAAGACTGTTGGGGGTACGTCAATGTTTGTTTGAAAGAGAAGTGCGGTGGTGTGTGTGCGAATCCGTGGACAGACGACGACTCCAGTATGGTGTGTAAATCCCAGCACTGTGGTGAACATGTCCTAAAGCCCATCACCAAGACTAGGGAACGAAGGGACGTGAAGTTCAAGAGTGTGCACTCCACAGAGAAGACTCACAACCCGACCAAGTGTAACTTGGTCAGCTTTGATGACAATGATAAGTCTTGTGACGATAATCCAGCATATGTCGTTTGCTCAGGTAATGAAATGTTTTAACTATACTGTATATTCCCCAAAAACGTGTGTGTTTTTCCTAATGAAACCGTTGTGTTTTATTCTTTTGGTGAGCTTGAATGCCTTGTGTATTATTATGACCAAAACATTTTCTATTTTAATAGAAATTTTAATTCTGGTTTGCTTAGGTAGTTACATGAACATTTCACAGTCTTTTGTACAATCTGGAGGGGAACATTCATTTTGCAGTAGTTGCACAAGATAAAAACACAAACACAAAACAATACAAGTACAACATGTTTCCTGTTCATACAAGATGCAGAAGATGAGAATACACAATAATAAGATTCGTGAATTTCCAAAATGTTAAATCATTATTTCAAATGAAGTTATTGCTCAGGCAACAAAGGATAATTAACTGCCAATGTACCTGGTTGGTTGGATGGGTGAGTTGATTGGTTGGTTGGATGGATGGATGTTAATCAGAATGTTCCTGTAAACTCTGATGTGCTTAGCCACAAGACACACAACTGGCCATAACTCAGGGGTCATGTGACTGACTTTATTTTATATTTATTATATCTTGTTTGTTTTATTTAAATAACAAAATAACTCTGTATCTTTCATTGTTACAGGTAGTGTCAAAGCCAGATTTACTCCTTCCCGAGAAAATTGTTCTGGAGGTTTGGAAGTGAACTACGAAAACAAATGGCTCCAGGTTTGCAAAGATGCTCTTAAAGACAACAAAACACGAAACACCATCTGTCGAGAGCAGGGCTGTGGTCAGGCAGTAGATGAGATTAAAGATGGACCCAAAACAACAAAAGGTCCTGTCATTTCACAAATACAGTGTTCTGGAGATGACACGGTCACACAATGTATGATGAAAACTAATGATGGCCCATGCACTCCTGCTGACCTCCAATGCTCCAGTAAGTGTTATTATCGTTGTATGTTGGAAAAGTTAGGGTCTGTAGATCGTTAACCCGGACTGAAAAATGTTCAGCTAATGTTTTTCTTCTAGCGTTCCAGTATATCTGGGACCTTCCTTAAAAATATATCATTTATTGTTTGCTTTTTCTTACTGAGATAGATGAGACTATTGATACCACTCGGATGCTTCTAAGACACATACCAAACTACCACATAGAAATGCTTAGCTGAGCCTAGCATAAAAGATGCATCCAGAAACTGCTAGCTTGGCTCCAACCGTTGGTCAATAACACATTTAATGAAATGATAAATCTCACCGATTAATCAATGTTTTACCACACAGCGTGATTTTTTTAAGGTGGTTATACACCAGAATAGTTTTGGTCCGGATTTTAAGTCACACTCTTTGTGTTATGCTTAGCCAGCTTGCTGCACCCTGTTGCTCCCTTTTTACCATAAAACATTTTCAATTTTCTCAGCTAACTTTCAAATATTAGCACACAGTGTATGCTCTTTAGATCCTTAAAATGTAATCTACATTTTTACGTTATTGCTTATTACATTTTTGGTGGTATTGGTTGTTCCTTAATCCTCTCTCATCTCTTCTTGCTTTTTTCAGGCTCGAGTACGTTTGTGCTAGTAGGTGGTGACACTGCCTGTAGTGGAAATCTGTTAGTTGACTCGAAGGAGAAAGAAAGAAGTGCTGTTTCCACTGAAGGCTGGACAGAAACTATGGGGGAGATACTTTGCAGCAATCTTAAATGCGGCAATTTAATGTCAAATGAGACAAGAAAGACAGCTGCATCCTGGACAACGAGCTTCAGCTGTGCAGGTGTACAGAATCTGGAGTCCATCTGGGACTGTGAGAAAAAAACGTCATCTAGCAACCCAAACCAGATCTTTATTAAATGTCAAGGTATAAAATATTTCCTGCTGCCATTTCCGTTAATATAGATGCATTAAATTACCTACTTTACAAGCATTTCTATTGACCATTAAAGGTTTGAAATGTAAGGCATGACGCTTATTTGCTATCTTATTAAGAGTTGTAAGAGACTATTGATTCCAAAATCATGTAAGGCTTAATATGTATTACAACCAGCTGATGATTAGCCTAATGTAGCTTAGTAGTAGGGGAAGACACCTAGCCAGGTAAAGGTAAATATATCTGCTTACCATCACCTCACAAACTCACTAATTCACAAATGTATGAGTTTGATTTCTTGCTAGCTGAGTATGCTAGCACCTGAAAACTACAACTTGTAATATTTTACTTTAATATTTGATCTTGTTTCTTTCCTTTCTAGATGATCCTAAGGTCAAACTTTCAGCAAAGTGTACTGGTGAATTGAAGGTAAATGACCTTGAGGTGTGCAGCACAAATTGGGAAGACAGGTACTCACGTTTGGTTTGCCAAGAACTGAATTGCAGCAACGCCATTGGTTTCTCTGTTGACAAAAACCCGATTAAGGATAAAGAGTACTTCCATGTCAACTGTGAGAAAAACCATTATCAAATCGGCCAGTGCAAGAGAGTCGAGGGAAAGTGTGATACAAAGTTGGTTTCGGTTTTCTGTGCTGGTAAGTAGGTATGTGCTTATGTACCATTGGAAATCAAAAGTATTCATGTAAACTTTCTGCCTATCATGTCATTGATATTATTTGGAATGCAAATCCTTATATGATTATTTAAATGTAATCAAAATGTAAATGTACTTGATTGTCTGTTAAATAGGAAATACTAAATTTGTGTTTGCATGTGTTGGTACATTTCAAGTCAGTCCCTTTGAAATTTAATTATTTTCAGGATATTTGCAGCTGAATTAATAAACCCATTGAAATACACAGTATTACAGAATGAAGTTGACACTTAAATATACTTATACATTTGCACCTACTATTTGTCATCTTGCCAAGAGTTGGATTAAAGTTAAGTACTACTCATATGTTAGTTTAAGCCAGAAGACGATTAGCCTAGCTTAGTATAGCCAGGAGATGATCAGCCTAGGTTAGCACACTGTACAGACAGCAAGGCTAGCTGCTTCACACTTTGTTTTATCAAAGTAAAAACTGCAAGCACCTCTAAATATCACAAATAAACATGATATGTCTTTTATCTCTTGTATATATTTATATATTGCATTATATGAGCATCCTGTGACCCAAGTTGTTCATTGCACAACTACACTGTAGCTGTGTGTAGGACATTACATATTTGTAATTTATCTTGAATTTTGTTTATTTAATGTAAGAAATTCAATTTAAACTGCAACTTCTCTTATTAACACCATCGTTTTTATAGCTTAAGGCAACACTAGCTGCTTCCCTATCGCTCCCAGTATTTATGTTTGGCTTAGCTTAGCTTAGCTAGCAAATTCCTTAAATGGCTAACATAGAAATATATTTTTGTATTCCTACAGGCAATGTCGAGTTCAACTCTACAGAAAAATGTGGAGGTCAGATTCAAGTCAACTATCGAAATAAGTGGGAAAAAGTGTGTCCCCTGGCCACAACATTTCCAGAGAAACTTCTGGAAAAACTGTGTAAAAAGCTTGATTGTGAAGGCTACAATAGTAGCATAAAGGGATCTGACGATTTAAAAGAGGTAAATATTTTTGTTCCAATTTTGATTTTGTAATTTTTAGCAATGTTTCAGTCATTAGTTTGAACATTTTAAAATCTGTATAATTTAACTTTAATCATTTTCTTTGTCACTACAAACTGTCCTTATAAATATATATAAATAAATACAATGGTCAAATCTGTGTTTTAAGGTCGACTTGGCAACAACAACACTGAGTTGCACCAAAGATCACAATGACCCTAGGCACTGTGTTGAAATAAAGAGTTGTCCGAACGAAAAACCAGCGGAGATCTACTGTAACGGTAACCCAAACCAACTTGTCATTTCCCAATAAGTCAGATATTTGTTACCTGTAATACTCTAGTAATACATTAAAAAATCAGATTTGATTACCTTGACAAGTAGCATCTAATCGTTAATGCAAAAAAGGCAATTCTGGAATAAAATTTCGAACCTTTCTACAGAAAACTCAGTTCCAATAAATGCACAGAGCTTTCGTGTTAATTTAGATATATTGTACATGTTTATAGTATTTCTTTATATTACATTTTTGTAGAAGTCGATTGTAGACTGAAACCCATCAGTTTCCAGTGCACCCAGGCCAATAAAAAGCCTTATTTGAACCAGTTAGGGTTCTTGCTATTTTTGAGTTCTTCATGGTTGATTGCACTTTAAATAAGTTGCTTTGGCAATCGATACACCAAAGCAAATTCCTTGTACCTGAAAGCCTACTGGATGTACACCAGATATTCAATCTGATTCTGTCTTTTGATTTCAGGTTACGTGTCCAAGTTTATAAAGCTTGAAGTCCCTTCGTTCCCCACAGTGGGCATTATCCTGGGAGTAGGATTACTTTTGGTTCTGGTGATAATAATTGTCGTAATTATCCGAATCTGCATTGTCACCAAAGGCAAGAATATATCGTGTGAGTATATTATTATTAACTGTCTTATGCTATTTGTTTTAAACAAGTAGAACATTGCAACAGCTATTCTGGTATACCATGATGATCATCTCAGTGTAATGAACATGTATTGGAGCCTTTTTGCCACATGAGGCCAGTCTTGTTGCATTCTGTCTATATTCTGACCACTGTATGACACCAATATTCATAACCCTATCACTGCTGCTTTTTTCAAGCAACAATATTTATTTCACTTCTGGAATATAAATAGCAGCATGACCAGCACCCACTAATGACTCATTTGGCTCTTCCATAGCCTATGGTCATATTCTAACCCTTTACAGTGTGGAGCGGGACATTTTTTACAAGAATCAAGAACCCTTTTATAATTGTTGTTTTATAATCAGTCAGTTTGCCAACCATATGTATTTTACATCCATACATAACTAATGGTCAATAATGAATGGGTGATTGATATTGACACTATCCCTTTATAGAGAAAATACATCTAAACCCACACATTCTCTCATACTCTAATCTTAAACAGAATATATGAGTCAGCAACATTATTTATATGATACTTTTTTATATGAGTAAAGGAGAAAACAACATTGAAGTATTAGTAGGTGTTATTATTATGATTGAAACCATCAGCACTAACAACATGCCAATCTGAGTATTTTGTGTTTTAAGATTCCACCTGCACATAAACTTATATTTGCCAATATTATATAATTTACTTTATATTACACTTTAGGAAAAGCAATCACATTTCACGCTTTAAGAATCCATTTAAGATGTTTTTACTGCTTTAAATGCCAAAACAGGTCAAATGATCCAAATGTACTATAAAGAGTTCAGATGCAGAACATCATGCTCATTTTCAGGTTCATACTTGTATTTTATAATATAAAAGATAGGTAAAAGTAAGAACAAATATATATATACTGCATTGTGCATGTGCATAGACTTTAAATATGCAAACAGTAAGGAAGTACATAGCTTACATACATAACAGCTGAAGGAACAATAAGTATACACTCTGATATTTAAAGTATACATGCTTTGATGGAAAAGTACTTTTTCTCAAGTAATCTTCTTCAGTACACATTTGAGGTAGATTGCTACTTTATGCTGAACCCTAACCCAACTCCACCACATCTCAGAAATAAATATTGTCTTGGTTTTAAATGTTTTTGATCAAGTGTTTGTTCATTTGTTGAGAAAATTAATAATATAAACGTATAAACAGTTTTTCCGACTCTTGTCTAGTTTTAGTCCTTCGTCTCGGACCAGTTTAATGTCTCATGCTCTTTTGATGCAGTGAGAATTTTGAGAAAGAGAATGTCGACAAAAGAAGTAGAGATTGAGAGTGGAGACTACGACAACGTCCCGGACATGTCAAACCAGATGGAGGACTTGGGAGCAGCCAGTGAGTCTCATGTTTATTCATTCATGTATTTTTTGGAGTGGAATCATAATCATTGACTACAAATATATCACCAGGATTATTCCTATTTGAGTGTCAAAAATGCTAACACTTTGCAGTATTCTATTTGACATTGCTTTATGTTACACAATACATTATTACAAGTATTGTGCAATGTTACCTTTATATTTAAGTAACTTGTATTTCATCTTACTGTATCATTTCTGTACAGTGTGTCTTTTAAATTACCTTTTACATATACAGCACATATACTTCTACACATATTATATATAAAAACTGATACTTAGAATTCTCACATCATAACTGCCAAAATCACTACAATATTTGGCCATAAATGTGTCAAATATAAATTATATTTAGTAATTTAGTCTTAATGTAATTTATATATTGTTTGCATTTATTTAAAGTCACTCTTTCATTTGTTTGAGTTGTCATTTTATTTTGTCATTATACCTCATAGTTTTTATTTGTGTTGCAAGGATAAGCACAGACTTAGAATACTGAAGAAATCATTTTTTAAGTTAATTTGTATATTTTACGTTTTCATAATGGAAACACAGGGCATTGTGATTTGAAATGTTGGACCATTTTAAGTGTCTTTGATTGTTTTTATTTGTTTTGTTGATGCAGGATTCAGAGAAGATGGTTCCTTCCATTCCAACAATGATGTCAGTGATGCTGCTGAGATGCAGCCCCTGACCCTCCAGACCCTCACTGCTGCTGAAGGAGAACACCTCCTCCAGGTTGTTCCCATGGATAAAGTGTCAGGAAAGTTTTGCTCCAGCTTAATCCCATCTGTTTACAGTTAGACAGCTAGAAACTACAGTTACAAAAACAGGGTCTTTTTTGGGATGAAGTGCTTCATAACATGTATTGGTCAAGTAAACATCCATAAATACACATTTAGTTCTTTATTTGAGTCAGTACATTTTTCCCAGATTCACCAAAAGTTGAATATGATATAAATTGATATATTTAAAAATAACGTTTAAGAGAAATTGTGATACAAAAGATACTTCCAACTGGAGAAGTTTGATTATCATATCTATTACATACATTGTTGTTACCCTATTCTCATAATTGGACACATATTAACACGCTCTGAGGGTCACAGAAGGATTTATTTTTCCTATGCTTTATCAATAGCCTGATCAATGGAACATTTGTATTCCTTAAAGCAAGGTAAAACTAGATTTGTTTTAAATAACTTTTAACAGTTTTGTTCTGATTTAAGGAGTGATACCTCTAATATGTCAACATAATGAAGAAATCATTCGGAACCTGGCTTTATCTGTTCACCAGATGTCTGTATTGGAAATGTATAAACATGTGCTCATATTTAATAGGTGATGCCTCTTTTGCTTTTCTATACATAGAATAGAGTGGTGCAGACATGATGTATTTCTGTAGACCGACCCGGAAGATACTATATCCCTGTTTCACTCGACAAAAAGCAAGGGAATTTTCCATTACATTTTTGGAATATTGAAGAAAATAACATCTGTGGCGGCAAACACACATTTATGATAGTTACACGTTTGTTCAGCAGGATAATCTCCACATATTAACACCACTTTAGGCGGATAATGTGTTTTATGCTCATTTAGTCACTTATTAGCAACCGCTAAAGGTTGGGACGTTTACCTGTGGGGTATTTACTGACATATTTTATGTTGTAGATCAAAACATGAAAATATTTTAATCTTGTTTTAACCACAGACCTTATTTCAGGCATCTAATAGAAAACACGCAAAAAAACTGTTGACTTCCAAACTAACCAGGAGTGGTAAAATGCTAACTGATTTCTTGGTTTTAGGACTCATTCCTACAGCACTGTATTTCAGAAAACTGTAATATAAATGATATATCGGGGAAGTTCCATAGTGTTATCTCTTGATTCTAAGTAGTGCCACCCTTTTAATTACCAATATTATTTGCACATTGTAAGCAATCACACGTTTTAATATGCAGCAGTTTTTCTCACTACAGATGGGGTGACCGTTGAGGAGGAAGACCCGCAGGAGGACTACGACGACATTGAAGCCTACCCTGAATTCACTCAGACCGAAGCAGAAGTCCACGAGAGCCCCCAGGAGAGCACCGCAGAGGAACCTCTCTTAGTGGAGGGAGACGATGATTACCTGGTGCCAGGCCAGGATGGGTGAGCCAACCCTGGGTTCAGCTGGCAAAGCAGATCGCCCCAAACACCTAGCTGTCATTCCCTCCAACAAAAGCGTGTATAAAAAAAGTCCAACATTACAGGCTGTCAATATTTTTACAGTAAAGAATCTTTTAATGCTACAGACAATTTTAAGTTTATTCCAGCGACTTCAGCAAATGAAAAAAAAAAAAGATAAAACTAATTGAATGACTCTGAAATAGTGATTAAAGCTAACTTTTAATTCATAAACTATGATCTGATTTGAAATAGAGTCTTACTTGTACATAGGAAATAAACTCTGATTGTGTACTGCTAATTTTTGTACTTTGCAGAGACATTGCCCTTACTTCTTATTTTACAAAAGTGAGTCTTATACAATGTGCAAAGTTTTAGCCTGCAAGCTAATCACAGGTGAGGAAGATGAATGAGGTAGTTTCTCTTTAAATGTACAAAATTAGAGCAGTTAGAACTTGTAAAAAGAAACATATTTGTAACTTTCTCTTGTTTTGTTTTCATATGGCTTTTATGAAATGTGCTCAGAATGTATCTGTAATCATATTATGTTTTAGATTGTTTTATTGAAAAAAAAAAAAGTATATTCAGTATTAGAGCTTCTATGATTTATGCAATATTTTACGAGCGATTACTTTCACAGTAGTTTGTAGATTGGTCAACAATTATATATTCACAATGCATAAAGCAGTCATAAAATGTTCTCCATTTAGCATAGTTACAGCAAAAATAAAATGAATATTACAGAAGTCCAACTTATAACTGCTTCAGTAAACTTGCATTGAGTATTTCTTTGTTTAGGCTTTGTAAGAATATACTAAATGGTCACATTGGGTAGTTTTTGTTAAATAGGCTTTGTAAGAATGTATACCATTGAGATTTTACCATCAAAATGTTCTTTTTATACTTAGGAAAGACGATCTTGTAATCCAACTCATTGTAATTCGTTGTTTTCACAAATGTCAAACTGACCTAATCTATAAAACGAGTGTGAACGTTCAACTGGCTGTTATTGTCGTCTGTTTGAGTGTCTTTCATGACAATTTATGTCGGGAAATTGCCCGACTTAATGCATGTCTGTTTTATTCATTCCTATTTCCATTTGGTGTTTACGGCAGTTTTGTGTATGCTATTACCACTACTAGGTTTCATCATCTACCTACATCTGATGGATCACAGACTTATAGGAAATGGCTCAGATGTTGAGTATCAAACTGTATGTTGTATAAGTCATATATAGTTTGATACACAGCACAATAAGCCATTTCCTACATCATTTTCACATGACTCAAGTTTGCCTGCAATCCACTGCTGGGTTATTTCTAGTTCATATTTTTCATATATTTTCTTTCTTGTTTTGAACAGTTCAAATACAATTTCATCTCCATGCATTTGAACATTGTTAGAAATCACCTCAATATTTCCCCCCCTTGGTTGAGACATAGTGAGAAAGCAGCTGCTCGCTACAAATGTTAACATGAGCAAGGCCCTCCGTAAGGGAGCCGCAGACACTCTGGTGCTGCATTTAAGAGATTGACGGACATGTTGAGCCTCACATGTTTAGTCAGGAGTTAGCCAACGTCCACTGAGATCACAGTGCCAGCGATACACCCAAAGGGACTAATTTGTAAGCAGCAGCCCTCGTATGATATGTAAACATCACACCCGGCCTCGCAGAGAGAGGCCTTCAGAGGGATCATGATGCAGGATTAGCTCTGCTGTGTGGCTGAAGCTGGAAAATAAATACAGCGGAGACATAGTGCTCCGTCAGTGAAACAGAGTTACAAGTGTCATTGTGTTGTGTAGTTGAGTTTGCAAGAACCAAATGAGAAAACCTCTTTGTAGAACAAATACATTATCTCTTGACATAGAGCAGTTGTGGCTACTTTCCAAGTAACTCTTAATATACTAGTATTTTGGCACCATTTAGGCCATTACCATATTGAAGCCTTGGGTTTGAGAGTTTTGCAGTAGCCATCTTGTTTTTTGGAGCCAAAAATGAACACATCTGGACGAGAATGTTAAGCTTCGGAGGCACATGCATTGCTACACCATTGCCCTGATTGACAGGTCAAGGTGGTGCCAAATTGTCAATCACAAGCCCTAAAGCTAACGCTACTTTATCATCTCATTTTCACTATATGGGACCATGAATTGCAAAATGAAGATCATGCTGTAATAAAGATGACTTAAAACCAGGGATTAATAACATGAACTCATCAGGAAAAGGTTTAATAGGATAACACATTGTGAGAATCTACAATCAGACTGATGGAAGGCTATGTCCACTTCTTTTGATCATTTGATGCCATTGAGCTTTAATCATGTTTAATGATTTATTTGTTGAAGACTACCATTGTTTTTAGGAATTAAAAATAAAATACTTTGGTCCAGACTTAAATAACATCAACAACATGAGATGGATTGCCGTTCAGTCACATGGTCTCCAGAGGATGAATCCTAATGACTGTGGTTATCCTCTGACTTTTTCTCTGGACCTACCATGATGTGCACATTTTTGAGGAGTGAAATCGTTTGACTTTTGCAATAAAATTTGGTACAGACATTCAAGTTCCCTGAGGTTGAATTGAAATAATTTGAGTGTTCCCTTGTCTTCTAGCTTCATGATCAGATCATATTATTTGTTCAGTACTTCGTGATTAGTTAACATTTGCAAATGTTAGCATGCTACCAAGCTAAAGTAAGTTGTTTACCATGGTAAAAATTATAATCAAGGATATTACATTGTCAGTTGTCAACACAGGATTGCATAAACAAATGCAGTTCCATTACATTTTTGCTTAACAGAAGAACCATTTGACTAAATCAGACAAAACCAAAAACAAGGTATTATTTTAGTTCAATTTTTTAATTTGCAACAGCAGCAACAAAAACAGTGGTGAATTTGAGTCCAGGCTGTGTTCCGCGGCCCAACCGCCAAAAGTGATATCTTTATCAGGAAGATGTGGGCACAACAGTCACCGATCTGTATCTACGACACGTCAGCATGTCAGCATTATCACTATCGTCCTTCCTTTAAGGTACATCATTCTTTACCGGTACAAAACTTTGCATATATGATCTGTCTTAGTCTTAATTAGGACTTTTGAATATATTACGAAGCAGTAATGTTCACAATATCACCAACTTTTTTTAATGTATGTTAAGTGTACGTTTTGTATGTTTAGTCTACCGTCTCTTGAGGTTGCTTTATGAGGTTTTAGCATCAATATTTGTCTTTCAAATACAACTGTCAATATTCTGAAAGAGTGTGAACAGATTTTTCTAAAATAAGCCCTTTGACCAAATGTTTGTATACTCATGTTTCAAATATTCATCTCTAAAACTTTGGCCTGTCTACTCTGCTGGATTGGCTCTTGCGGTTCCTAACAGTCATTTGTTCAAACACAATTCAGTGTTGACAGAAGGTTCTCCAGCCACCTCAGATGCCTTTTTATGGAGGTAACAGACAGTCGAGCCATCTGCTGCGGGAAAGGCCCCAGTTGTGGTGATTTTCCATAACAAACAATAGCGTATTATTAATAGTGCTCCCATGTGTATGGTGTCATACAGAATGCCTGGATATCTTGACAGCATGTGTGTGTTGGGGACATTTACACAGTGACATGTAGAGACTCAAGTCCCCATGACCTTTCTAATTTGTGCCTAGGACTGTTTTAAGTTTGAAAAAGAAAAAGAGACACAATGAGTTCTGTTTAGTCTTAAGTTTTGTAATCTGGTACAGACATTGGGCAACCTTTTTTATTAATTGCCAAAGTAAGGATTTTTGAAAATGACAACGTTTTAAAAAAAGATATTCTCTCTCTGTTATCAGTTCCTAAATACCAAATACTTTTTGTTCCATGTAGCTTAATAGATACAACAATTTTCTTATACTAGAATTAGTCCTTGGTCACATGGGGCTACAGTTTTTTTACCTAAAGTATCAGAATCCCTTTATTAGTCCCACTGAGGGAAAATGTACATTGTTACGGCAGAAAAGAGCCAACGACAGCTTAATGTTTCCTAAGCATGCATAACATAAAGTACTACAGATAAAACAATTAATTATAATAAAAAAGTTACACATTTTACAAAAATACACATCCTGTAACAGTTCGGAGGACTTAGCAGCTGCAGGTATGATGTAATATATGTTAAAAAAACAATGCCCAAAGATTAAATATGCTATGATAAAAAAAAAAAGCCAATTGAAGTTATCTATTTTGAAAGTGTATTTAGATTTAGTCTAAAGCAGCCCAGAGAGCACTTCCACTACTAAAATGTCAGTGTTGTGTGCTGTTTACAATTTGTTATTATCTCCACCAATGAGTTCATGCTTTTGGTTCTGTCTAAGTTTTATTTGTCTGCATGATAACAGAAAAACTGGCAATATTTTCACGAAACTGAGCGGACCAGACTCATATTGGATACACATACTGTATATTGGAAGAATTACAAACTACAATACAAATATTGAAGAGAAGCCTACATGTTTCCTGTTTTCACTTACTTAAACTTATACAAATTCATGTATTTAATGTTTTTATACCTCAGTAAGGCCGTTTGTCTGTGTGTTTCATTTTGTACCTGGCAGCAAGACAAATTTCCCCTCAACACAGTCGTAATGTAACACACCATTGGCTGAGAACCAATGGCCAAGGGCATCAAAAGGGTCAAGAAGGTTCTGGAAACAAAGTACCTGTATCAGTGCATGGTGATTTACTAAGATCTGTTCTTAAAGTATCAGAAACATGACAGCTCTATAGATAAGATGGAGTGGAAAGTCCATGACCACAGTTTCTTTCACAACAGCACGAAACGATCTTTATTTGGCAGGCAAAGGAAATTATGAGATGATAAGACTCGATTCTCGTGTAAATGTAGTTTCCTGGAAATTATACTTTGCTTATCTGTTAAGTCTAACTTGAAGAGTACTGGTAAAGTCAGCAGGAAAGCATAATTTCTCATTCATGCAACAAAAAAAAACTGCTTTAAACCCCTAATGATGTTCCTATGTTATGTTGTAAGACACAAACTGATTGTGTTACTGTTTGCGTGTGGGCACCAGCACAGAGGGCCTTTGGGGACAGGTCTACTTGGCTGTATTAGTGTTTGTATGGCAGGCCTGGATGTGCACAGGGGTCAACTGAAAGATCACCTGGTCAGCATAATGCCTTAAATATTCTGTAAAGCACGAGGGGGACCAAGCAGGTTCAGGACCCGGGCCAAGTTTGGCTCTACCCCCCTCCGAGTCCGACACATCCAGGACATCCATCAGTGGAGCGCCACAGCTAACTATAGCAGAACGCCAAGAGATTATTAAATGTAAACGGGCTGAAGAGGGACAGTGAAGAAGGTTAAAGGGAGAATAAAAACTGAGACATGGATCTGTCATGATCTAACTTTGAATATAATAGATATAAAGAGCAAGATTGGAGAAACAGAAGTGGATGGATGGACTTCTTTGATACAAACATTTGCAGCGCTTCACAAAATAAGCTAGATAAAGGCTATGTGTGTGTTCAAAAAAAATTCTGTACATTCTTGTTACTCTACTTTACTATTGTAAATCGAACTTAAAGTAAATGCGTAACTATTAATGACACTGTTATTCTCATCTGATAGAAATGATAAAATACAAACAGTAGACAGCTGATGCAGTTGAGCAACACCTCATATTTCATATATGTCATATATGATGTTTCTTCTTCTTCTTCTTCTTCTCTTTAATGGCGAATCGCTTCCACTTGGAGCATATATCGCCACCTACTGTTGATTTATTAAATCTATATGTTGTTTTAAATTAATGTTGCCTTATATGAAATGCCTGTTGCCTCAACTCCTATCTCCGTGTGTCTTTTCCTCGCCTCCTGTTTTCACCTGACAGGACTTAAACGTGATGAGAGGAAGCAAGGAAAGGAAAGGAAAGGCTTGGCTCTGTTTCGGGTCATTAGTAAAGGGGCAACACCTGGCTCGTTAACGACACCTGTGACTGGTGC